AAAAAGAAAAGAAAAGGCTCTAGGCGCCTGATAGTCCACTATCCTCCGTCCCGATCAATGGCATTTTCGCGAGTGGTATCATTATAATATGAGGCCTGAGCGTATTACAACCTGAGCCCAACACATAATCTAAACACACTTGGCACCGATTTCGACCACCAAAGTGTTATCAAATACGCTGTAATCTCTACAGGACAGGAAAAACTCTACCCCAATCCTTTTCCCCTTATAAAATAGATCAGATCATGCATAATGCTTTCACTGCATACACAAAATGTATATATATTTATATATATATATATATATATAAACGAGGCCTACGGTAATTACCGCATATTTCTGCGACCATGCAAGCGAGTGCCAAATATTACAACTGACTCCAGAAAGCTGAAAATACCCGGCACTATCAGGGACACGTCTAAAAGGTATGCAGTCCGTTAAGAATAAAAGAATACGTAAATATATAAATAAATTAATTCACGAATACGTAGATGAATAAATAACGGAATTTATCAATACGTAAATGAATAAACAAGCAAATAAGTTGATACGCAAATTAATGCTTAAATAAATAAACAAACAAATAAGTATGTAAACAAGGAAAAAAAAACGTAAATACGTAGATAACTAAATAAACAACGCGTTCAGAAACCAGCAAGACCACCTTTTGGCGATCCGTGAAGAAATGCTTCGAGGCATCATTCAGTCGACACACTCGACGGAACAGCTAGCCCGTGCATCCTTTGCTCGCTAAAACCGGAGTACGGGCCCGCTTGGAAGGCCAGCACAGTTCACCTTGAAGACCGTAGTCGGCTGAGCGCGCAGCAGCCCGCGCATGTCGGGACCGCGGCAAGGACGTCTCAAAACAAAGGGACGCAAGCCCGGAAGCTCCTCCGGGAGCCTTGTTCGTCCTTCATTAAGAACCGACGCTAACAGGGCACGACTATAGGGCCGCTGCGGTCGTTAGCGCTCACACGCCTTCCTTGGGGCTCCACTCGAGCGAGATGAACGACGCAGCCCGCCACGAGCGAGCAGCCGCGTCGAAACTTGCGCAGAATTGCTCGCACTATATCGTTTGTTTAAGCTTATGTGCGAGAGCAACCGAAGCTACAAGCACGACCTTGTTGCCCTGAACGATGCTTGCACTGCACGAACTATATGCAAGGGGAGTAGGCAAAAAAATTCGAGAAATATGAATATCGTTCATCCCCTCAACTCAGAGTCAGAACAAGCGGCCACGTGGCCTGGTGCCTATTCTATGCCGCCAAGGGTAATCAATCATAGCCACGCGCTGGGGTTCTAGTTAAAAAAAAGGCGTGCTGAGCTCAAAGCATTGTTAAAGTTCGGCTATTCTCATCAACGCAGCGGTTGGACCCAGCCGCTACCCGAGTGTCCGCCGAGGCAATGATTGTTACGAGCCGAAGTCGAGTGCTCAAGCAGTTCTCGCGTCCAATCCATGAGCCAAGCTCGACTTTCGTCAGGCGGGTGGTTTCGATCCCACAATTACGTCATCGAGATAAAGAAATAGTCCCATTTTATTTTCGCAATTTCACTGCGACAAGGAAGCTTCTGAATCAGTGGCGGTTTGTGCGAGTATACTTGGGCCAGTATAGGACCAGTACGCCTCTGCAAAGTCATAAACATTCCAACCCTATATCGTTCCGTGACTCCTTTAAGCTTGGATCGCACTCAATGCTACAAGCGCAAGAGCACGATGTCGCTGCTTTGAAACGTTCTTCCGCAGAACGAGCTCTCGCGGTACAAATGCACGTCTCAAAGCCAGGAGCGCGGGCTAGCTCGCACTTTTAGCTTTGGGTATACAGTCTCGGCTTAAAGGGGCATGAAACAAATTTTGGGCTGGGATAAATGATTTTAAATTGGGACTTTAGTAATCGCATATCGTTTAGTTGGCCAAAAGGAAGAGGGTAGAAAGTCAAAAGCCAGCTTTTCGGTACGAACGTTTGAAAACATAGCGGACTACTTTTTACCTTCTTTCCTTCGAAAGCTCCCCGCCTTTTCACTGATACATCCGCAGTTCCCAAAGCGCGTCAGCAGTGCCAACCTGACGTCAGCCGAGCCCAGCTCACGCATTGGACACGAGAACTGCGTCACTCGGACGTATGCGCTCGTCAACAATCAATCCGTCGACGAATATTTGGATCCGCGTTCGTGGCCAATGAGTGCCCTGACAGTTCTATCTTATCGTCATTGGAGAATGACAAGTTCTATAATGTGCATAAAAGGCACGGTGGAAGCTAGGAGTCATCGCACCGGTGCCGAAGATGTCACAACGACGTGATTTCACAATTCGCATTTGAGTTGAGGATTAAAGCTAAGGTGAAAAAAGTATGGTGTTCTTTTTTTTTTTTTTTTTTTTTTTAGTTGCTTCAAATTTAAAAAAAAAAAAGGAACTTGAGATAGAGTAAAGCCCTGCGGAAGTGTTAATGGCCATGGCGGCCTCTAGAAAAAAGGTGAAATTGGATAATTAGTTAGCTAATTAACTAAAATATTCTAACTTTGTAATTTTTCAATTGAGGGTACATAATGTATTTGGAGGATTGAAGACCGACCACAATGTGGTCTAGTCGTGTCGTCAAATTGGGATTCAAAATTCCTAGTAGGCGCTATGGGGTCGGGAAATGTCCCTTCGTAAATGGCGTCAAACCGAAACTAAACAGGAAAGAGCGCCGGTAAAGTTATCGCTCGGCCCTTTCGGGCATGCGACTCGTCATTATCGCGGCCGGCTCCACTTGCTGAAGCGAAGGTGGCTGCGATAATAACTTTTATCAAATAACCGGCCGAAATTCACATTGGCATAGGTCAAAAAGTGTGCGTGTTTAAAGTCTAAACCGTCCAATTCCCGCGCTTATAAACAAAATACATCTTTTCATCTCTCTCGCGTCTCGACCGGCAAATAATCAAGTTTAGGGCTACACTCAGTCATTCGATTCCAAACAGACAAACAACGAAAAAAGACGACAACAGTAACAAAAAAAAAGAGCAAAACGGGACAATGATAAAGTCAGCTATTGTCCAACCTTTCCTTTTCTTGCGTATCGACCACGAAAACAGCGCGCAACGCTCAAGAAACCGAAGCGGACAAAACGACTCCCACAAGATAAATGAATAACTAATAACATATATTAAAAAGGTAGACAAAGGACGGGTTTCGTCATGTCCCATTCCGAAGCCCACCGCGCGTACACCACGAACTCCCGCTCCGCCAATCCCGGTCATTTGTATGCAAATCAGTGCCGAAGGGCGGCGTTTCCACCTGCCGCCCAGTGACCCGACAGTGGAGACCAAATCCGCGCCAAACAGATCTCCGACTCGAGGCCCCACAAACACGCGGGCCGAGGAGGTCAATCAAATAAGGAAGCCTAAAAAGAATACTAACGTTTCCTCTTTTTACCTGTTTTAGTTGTTGTTTTCTTTTTCCCTCGGGAAACCACGATTAGACCTCCGCGGACCGAAAAAAACGAAACAAGCCAGCTTATATTACGCTCTCATTGAGAATGGAAACATTGCTACTGCAAACGCGACTTGGAACAAGAAGCGAGGGGGAGAAAAGAAAAGGAGTAAAATATAAAACACGTATACTCCACCTGATTTCATAGAAGCGAGCAGCAACGGGAAACCGTACGCTCCTTTCTCGCTCTCTCTCTCTCTTTCTCTCTAATTCCGCTTGCTCTCCACGCAGAAAATATAGGTTACCCCGATAAATATAGATGCCCGTATAGGCGGTCACGTCCATGGGGGCGGACAAAAAGACGGCACTCGTCTTTTCAAGAAAGCAGTTTGTTTTTACTGTATACCTTTGTGTTCTGCTTAAAGGAGCTGTGTAACGATATTCAGTTGGAATGTTTTTCACTATACACGAGCTTACTGGCACTAGTGGGACTCAAGGATACTCGCACGCAACGCACTGGCCAAGAAACTCCTTTGTTGCGGTGTAATTTCAAGGACAAAAGCGATCATTTCCATTCAATCTCTCCTTTGCAAAATTTGATGACGTAACGTGGGGATCACAGTACACCCAAGTGACGATATTTGAATGCGGTTCATAGATTGGACCAGAGCCCTGCGTGGGCACTCGATTTGGGCTCGTGATAATTACTAGCTCGAGAAGCATGCGGGTAGTCGCCCGCGTCCAATCGCTGCAACGACGACAATAGCCGAGCCATAACAATGTCTGGAACTCGGCGCGTATCCTGTGCTTTGCCAACCCCAGCGCGTGGCTATGATCAACATTGGCGGCATTCAGTCGGCTCCAGATCGCGTGGCCGCTAGTTCTGGCTGCGAGTTGAGGGGGTGAACGCTGCTCGTTTTTCTTTAATTTTTTTCTGGGACTTCTATTGCGTGAAGTGAAAAACGACCGCGTGTTTCATAGGTCATTAACGTCAGGGATCTGTCCTAAGCGGTATTTGCGCAAAGTACAAAAATTGTTGCATCGCCCCTTTAATGTTTATGAAGTAAATATCCCTTCATATAATGTCCTTAGACGGGCCTCTGCGGTATTTTAAATAAATAAATAAACAAACGATTAAACTCTCTGACATTCGCATAAAAGACGCCTTTTACACTGGTCATGGAACTCCGGAGTCGTAAACTAACTTGTGTCAAAAACTAAGAAATTACCAACGAAAAATTTCATCAGTACGGTCGATTACGATCCCGTCGAGAGGATGGCTGCCTTTTCATACGCTGTTGGTCGGCTGTCGGTCTCGCCTCCACTTTGCGGTTTTGCAAAATAAACTTGCGGGGATAAAAAACAACAAAAAAACTAGAAAGTTTCATTGAAGTCGTTTCATTTTCAGGCAGTAGGCAGTTTCAAGTCTAAGAACTGCCTGCGCACCTGCTTTTTCGCAGACAATGTGCGGTGAAACAATCACAGCGAGGTACGGAAATCGTCCGGTTAATAATAATTCTCAAAGGATAATTGAGGAATGAGCTAAGGTACAAAGTTCGTTTTTAGGGTTAAATCGTATTTCGTGCCTCACCATTCGCTGGACGGGGTTCACAGATTGCCACGAGTTGCTCACCGCCGTGATCTGCAAGAAAAATATACAAAAAGACACGTGTTAAACTCGCTCCCACCTCAAAACTTTTACGGGGTGTCCCAAAAGAATCTCTACGACTTTGATCACTAATATCTTTAAAAAAAAGTAGAAAGGTGCGGTTTGCAGTAGTATACGTTAAAAGAGCCATGAAACGTTTTTTCTACTTTCGCTAAATACTACTTAGAATCACTTTCTAACGTTAATAACCGAATAAACTTGCCTTAGCTTTTCTTTCTAGTCAACGGCAGTCGACAAAAAAAGTTCGACAAATATATGAGCATCGTTTATCCCTTCAATTCGAAGCAAGAACAAGCGACCACGTGGCCTGGTGCCTATCCCATGCCCCCAACGTTAATCATAGCCGCGCGCTGAGGTTGGCAAAACAGAAAACGCGCGCTCAGCTCCAGGCATTCTTAAGCCTAGTTCACATGTAGCGGTTTTGGCCCTAGAGCGGCGCGATTTATGCCGTCGCGGCGCTCTGGCCAGCACCAGCAATTCTGCGGTGCACGAGCGCCGCGACGGCAGAAATCGCGCCGCTTTAGGGCCAAAATCGCTGCATGTGAAACACGCTTTAGAGTTACGCAGTGGTTGGACACGAACTACTACCGGAGTGTCCGTCGAAGCATTGATTGTTACGAGGCGGCGTCGAGTGCTCACGCAGTTCCCGTGTCCAATCCATGAGCCGCGCTCGACTGTCGTCAGACGGGTGGTTTCGATCTCACAATTACGTCATCAAGCTTTGCGAAGGCAAGACTGAAAGAAATATACCCCTTTTATCCTCGCTATTTCAGCGCAACAAAGTAGCTTCTGAATCAGTGGCGGTCTGTGCGAGTATACTTGGGCCACGCTAGGAGCAGTACGCCTCTGCAGAGTCATGAACATTGCATTTCGATGTCGCTTCATGACCCATTTAAAGGGGTGTTGAACCAAACATTCCATTGTCCATAATAAGTGGCGTAAGATCTTTCCACGAGCCAGCAGCTGCCGGTGTGTGCGAGCACACGCAAAGAAATTGACATCATAGTCCCCCGTTAACGCTCAAGATGACAGTGGAATCTGTGGGCTCCGGGGAAAAGGAGAATAAAGACAGGCTTTTCATCTCCACAGTGGGGACTGGTGTAAAAAGTAGGCGAATAATTTGTCTGACAAGCACGTAGCTTTCACTTGTGGGGATGAAAAGCCTGTCTCTGTTCTTCTTTTGCCCGGATACCGTTCGTTTCACTGTAAGCGTGAATGGAAGCATATGACGTCAATTTCGTTGCGTGTGCTGGCGCACACCGGCACCTGCTGGCTAGTGGAAAGATCGTGCGCCACTTATTATGGACAACGCGCTGTTTCGCTCAGTATCCCTTTAAGGAACACATAAAACCGGGGTCACGCTGCTTCTACGTAATAACATAAAACAGACTGTAAACAAGAGTCACCACAATATCGGTGGTGCGAATGCCGCGTGCCAAGTTTTGTCCTTGAACACATTGCCATGCGGCACTCGAAGCACGGGCCGCGCGGTGACTCGGGTTCAAATCTGTATGCAGGCTTTTTTTTTTTGTATAATGCATAAGCAGTGTGACATCAACGAGGTAGAGGGCCCTAGAGCGATCAACCGGGGTTCTTTTCTGCGCACAGAAGCGACCCCCCCCCCCCCCCCCCCCACTCCAGGCCGCTACCGGTCGTGCCGCTACCATTGTACGTAAATGTGAGTACTCGTCACGTGACCAAACCAAATACGTTACGTCACAGGGAAGATGGCAGCCCCCAGGCAGTGGCTGGGCCAACGTTGGGCTGGCACCAGCTGGGCCAGAGCATTGGCCGGAACTTATCGGATGCGCTGTTCGTTGTCGTTGGTCTGAGCGTGTTGATTTCAGATGCGGAAGCCGTCATATGAAGCCGGTCGAAAGCGACCTCAGACTTTAGCGTAGTCTCTCACGCAGGTATAACGTGGAAATATGAAGGAACCGTGCGCACATCTCTGGCGATCGACGGATATATTGCCACGAAAGAGATAATCGGCCCTGCATTGCTCGGACCTCAGATCGATTGGGATATCGCTAGGATAAATTTCAACGCGACGTTTTTGTGCTCTTGTTGACCATCGGAATCTTTGAGATCTGCAGTGAAGCGTGTGCAATGTATTTGAATACACAGTTAAACTACGGAAATTTCGTGAGTCCCACTTGGCAATGTGCAATCGTGGTGCCGCTTCGTTCAAATGATTGAAAGCTCACTTTGGTTGTGCGGCGCACCGAAGAGCTGCCTTGAAGCTGGAAGTTCCCGTGCCGCGCTATATGATGCTCTGCTGCTTTCTAAATTGTTCTGGCGTAGACGTGCACTTACACAGAGCACAGGTGTTGCAGTTGGTAATGAATCCACTGGTCTGCCACATGTTTTGTTTCATCTACACTCGCTTCATCCCCACTCGTTACGCGAATTACAAGCTGTATAGACATTTCATTGGGCGTGTATCACTGGGTCGCGTGTCACGTATACCCAGCCCAACCACTCACGCCGCTTTGCGGCAACAGTCTGTGGCGGCTCATTACCAAAGAAATGGTCCCATATTCATTTCAGTTCAGTTAGTCTACAGCAGTCGTCAAAACACCAAATGAGAGGAATTATTCGGACAGATTGCACTGAAACAATGCAGCTTCTTTACCGGTCGGATAAACACTCTTCTGTCAGTTTTGTTATATCAGACTTCGCTATTCTGGAAAGTTCCAGGCCATGCTCTGCTGTTATCGTATGTTCTGGTAGAGGTGCTGGGTACTTTACTTCACTCTGCAGGCACCCTGGTGGCTCCTCAGCCGAGTTGCTTGACGACGGGACACGGGTGGCGGACTGTCCCGGGTCTTACACCCCAGGGGAGCCGTGAACCAAGTCCAATATCGAGCCCGGCAGAAAAACCGCAAGACAAGCGAGTCCCGCAAGAGTGAACCCCGCAAATACACCACGAAGAACCTGAAATCCGAGCCAGCCGCTGCTACCAGGAAGAACCACCAGAATTCGGTCTCCTGCCAGAAAAATCGAAGCGGGCTAAGCCAACGATGACAAACCCGTAGCAGCAGACCGCATCCGCTCCCACCGTTGTTTACATGACCGTCGCACCTCGCACTCCAACGCCGCCTCACGGCGAGGTGAATGAAGACGTCGAGGACTGGATTTACTAATATGACCGTGTCCCCCGCCACAACAAGTGGACAGACGACCAGCACCTGCAGAACCTATGCCTGCCGTGGAACAAACTGCTAGGCACTGGTTTGAGAACCACGAATCCTTCTTGACGCCGTGGGAAGTTTGAAGGATAGGGCTGAAGCGCAGTTCTTCAGCGAACATATCCGACGAGATACTGCCGAATACCTGATTCGGTCCAGGACACGGCCCCAACGAGAGCGTCGCCTCCTTCGTGAAGGATGTTTTGCGCCTTATCCAACATTTCCAACATTGAATGTGCACTCCTGTCACTATCAACAACTCCCCCTGCGTCCCGACATTCAAGTCGCCCAGTTGCAACTTTGACGCCAGCCTCCCAGGCATCCGCGACATCATCCACAAAGTTGTCAGGGAGGAGATAAGGAAGTTACTTCCTGCCACCAGTCGCCCGGCTTTTACTTCAATTGCCGAGATTGTTTGGGAAGATGTTCAACAGTCATTTCCACCGGATACTTTTGCGAGCGAAGCGGTCTTCCTAAGGACCATAGCAACATTGTTGTCAAAATTAAAATGTTCCCTCCGCTGCAATAAAGAGCTTCGTAACTGTTGCTGCCGCGAGTTTATCTCTGGTAATACCAGAGATAAACTCGCAACAATTGTAAAGTTGCTTGCTTGCTGTGGTCTATGGAAAAGTTATACTTCGTCTTTCGCTTTGAATGGTTCGTACCATCAGGCGCCAGAATGGGTAAAACGTATGCCCATCTCGGACCACGTATCGGCCTCGATCACCGGCATTTCGGGCAATCGGCGGTTGCGTCAGCTTGGTTTCTTACATATAGATATATTAGGTCCGTTCTATTCGACCAGAAAGTTCAAGATTAGTTCACTCCGAGCCCAGAAAAGCGCAGGTGCCGCGCAATCCTTCATATATGCACGACTCCAACACTTGTCCCCACTCCGACTGAAGTATAGTTCCGAGATTTCTGGCGAATCGAACAAACCTATTATAATAATAGCAATATAGTTTCTTAGCGTGTTTAAAATGCGTTGGAAGGTACGTTGGATGGTGCGTCGGGCGCACGTCGAAAGAAATCGGCAAATCGCGTTCCATTTGTTTACTTGTGAGTCAAATTAATATGCAAAACAGCACAAAAACAATCCGCAATACGGAGACGCGACAAACAGAAAAAAAAAAAAAGGTCCCGCTATTCGAACACCAAGAAAACTGATAAGACTTGAGTGGAAAAAAAGAAAAAAAAAAGTTTACCACACTTTTATATAAATATAAGTACACATCATTTTAGCGTTCATTAGAAAATCCACAGTAAACCGACATTTGCTGAGGGTTTTCAGTATTCGCGATTACCATTGCGACTGTCGTCCTTCAGCTGGCAACATTGGCTTCTTTCTCTTGTGTTCTGTCGCGCTCTTTCGCGATCCTTCACTCAGGACCCCAGATGTCGGCGCACAGGATTTGCCACTCCTTCCCACCTACCTTCACCCCCTAGGCCACAGCCCACCGACGAGAAACCCCACAGCCCAGCGCAGTCGGGCAACACTGACGTGCACTTTCAAACCAGAAACGCCCGCTGTAAATCGCTTCGCTCGAGACTGCCGCTGGAAAGCTCTTGCGGTCCGCTTTAGGATGAAACAAAGTCCGTCCTACCAGCCCTTTCCGTCGCGTGACCGGTGCGTGCGTGCGATGCAGTGGCGGCGGAGGGTGCAGCCTTCCCTCGACTCGCCAGCCGACATGGAGTCGGCTCTGTTTGCGCTGGCTTCTATTTCTCGCCGCACCGCCGTGCTCGTGCTCGGGACACGCTTCGGGACACGCGACGACGTCGGGA